TGTTGTGACTGACAGCCTTTTCACTGAACAGCTACAAATGGAACTAATGGTTTAAACTTGTTAGCTATTGTCAGAGGCTCCAATTCTCAAGCCAGCTATGGATGCTATGGCAGAAATCAATAAGGCATCACTTACAGGTTGAACTGCCAGACCATACAGCTTGCCTGAAGAGAAATACTCCTTATATTCTGATCGTCTTGATGAAAGAAGTCTGTTGAATTTATAGGAAGTCCGGAGGTACACTCTTGCTAAAACAATTAACTCTTTTAGCACATTAAGCAATGCCAGACAAAAATCTGTGTCTGGATATGTGTTTGTGTGTGTGTGTGTGTGTGTTGGTGATGGTATATGCCTCTACCTGCATATTGGGGTGGAAGAAAAAAAAGTTTGTGCGAAATAAACTGAGATATACAGTTTCAGTTGGTAGAATTCTCTCCTCATGCACCCCTCATTTTATATATTCCAGATAGCACAGGTGCTAATATTGGATTGCTGTCTCACTGAATTTTGATATATGTTATTTTTTTTTGTTACAGGACATTTTCTTTGGAATAAAGTTTTGAAATGTAAAGACATTGTTCCTGTTCCCAACAGCTCAAAGTAATTCATAAATTACGAGTGTGATTGTATCCTATAATTGTAAAGCTCAAGAGAATAAATATATCCTTCCTTCCTTCCTTCCTTCCTTCCTTCCTTCCTTCCTTCCTTCCTTCCTCCCTCCCTCTCTCCCTCCCTCCCTCCCTCCCTCCCAAAATAAAAATAAAAATTGTAGCTGTAATGGTGCATAATGGTCTGCCTTATTTTGACACACACAATTGCAATACACATCAAAAATAGGCAGAGCATCAATTGCATCATCATAGCTACCATTTTCACATTTTTAAGCATCCCACCCCTCCCTTTCAAAGATTTGCTGTCATCCTTTCATTCCCCACAGGCCATCTTCATATTGCCTAGAGATAGACAAATTAGCCTAAAAAACAACTACGCTCTTCCAACTACACATTTCTTTTAAATACAAATATTCTCAATGTATATATTTTAGTATGCAACTATAAATACATTTTTAAAAAAATGTTGCACATTCCTGTGGCCATATTTTCAAGTAGAGAATTATGGAAGCTTGTGAGAAGCCTTCATTACTGCCAGTCGATGCTTCTACCACAAAACCTATTTTGGGCAATCACACTGCTCAGTAGTAACTGCTCCCCCTGAAATCTGTACGGGTATCTCATACCTCTATATCATGTCTCTTTTTCTCTTTTATGAAACAATGAAGGAACTTTGACTCATTGTCTGCTGTCATCTAAGACTGTTTTGAGCAAATCTTAACTTGATACAACAAACTACCAGGCAGAAGAATGGCAGAAGAATGGACATCAAGAGTGAACAATTGTTATACAGGCCCAGCTCCATTTTTTTGTATGATAGTTAGATAAAAGAAGAGGGGTATGAACAGAAAGAAACACTAAGAATCACCTTTCAGCTGTGAAGGAGAGGTCAGTCTTTTATTTTTTTAACCAATAAGCATCAAGAAGGGCTAGTTAAAGAAAACAACTAGGCATCAAGCTTTGAAAAAGAGTTTTCAAAGAAAAAAAAAAACCCTCAGGCAATCGGTGTGTGCCAGAAACTTGCCTAAATAAATATCAGAAACACTTCAAGCCCCTGAGGATAAAACTAGCCCAAAAGGAGAGATTTCATCTTGTTTCTCAGAGACTCGTATTGTAGTTTGGAGAATAAAAAGATGGGATAAGAAACAAGAAGAAATCATGCTCATGTCCTAAGAAGGTCAGATACAATGAAATGTTTTATATTCCACATCAGTTGCTAAAGTAAGGAAATTCACTGTGACTTTAAAGATCAGGATCAGTTCATGACAGCCGTTTGACAATTTCATCCTTTCCCTTCCTTATACTTCCTGTGGTAAGTCACTTCATTCTGTTGCATTGGACAAGCAGGTTTGAGAGCATACCAAATAGAAAAGAGTTCCCAACTGCATCTACTTATTTTATTTTTAGAACATAGAGTGTGGTGCAAAAAGCGGTGTGCATCGTTTGTCATTTTGTAATTATATAATACTAACAGCTTGTTGAAATCGGTCAAAAATAATCATAATAATAGTCAAAAATTCTGGATAGTGGATGTAGCAGTACCTGAACAGAGCAGAAGAGAACGAACTGGAGAAAAGCACAAAATACAAATACCTGCAAATAAAAATACAACGATTGCGGCAAAAGAAAGCAAAGGCAGCACCAAGAGTAATAGTTGCCTTGGGTGCAATCCTCAAACAACTGGAGCACTTGAGCCTCATTGGCATTGACTCATTCACCATCAGTCAATTGCAAAAGGCAGCTTTATTCAGAATAGATTGCATCATGCGACGAAACCTTTAACACCATCAAACAGCAACATCTGTCTATCCCAGCTCCTTCGGAAGGACTCAATAGGTGGATAAAAATGTCAAATTCGGTCTGAACATCTGGCTAGTCATAATGTATTAAACTTGTATGCTGCCCAGCTCTCAATGATTCTGGGTGGCTAATTACCCACTGAGGAACTGAAGTAGAAATTTCCAGACCACTAATGTTCAGCTTCTACATTACAACTGGCTCTTCGTGAGTCTCTCAAGTGCGTGAATGGTAAAAATGAAAGTGATTAATATTGGGATTTAATGCCATCCTATTGAGGTGGAAAAACAAATAGGTATTTTTATTTGAAGAGAAGAAAAAGAAATACAGCATTGAACGTTTTCAGTTAATGTTGTAATGCTAGTGAAATGCTCTCCTCCCTAGCTTCAGCCGACAACATAGCAAGTCACCTTATCTGTAGTCAGAGTTCTGCTCCGTGAAGCTCTCTATGTGCAGGTGAGGCAATCCAAGGTTAGTAATCTATATATGGTTCTTCTCAAAGGACGCAAAGATCATATCACCAAAATTTGCCTGCAACCTTCCAAATCATATCAGTGCACTATTTACCATACATATCTGCAAACAAGTGAAGAATTGTGGATGCCAAAATACACTTCTAAAAATTGGGTTCAACTTACTCTAGGCTTATCCATGAGTATATAAGGTAATACTTTATAAAAGTACCCGTATATGTCATAGATGCTCTTGTATAAGCCCATCTATGGATAAGCTGATTCTTGAATTTTTAATCAAAATACCATGAAAGTAGATAACCGGTGGATTACCCACAGGTAGGTGAATTGTGAAAATTAAAACATACACAAATATTGAGGGTCAACTTATCCATGGATGGTTCATTTTTATAATATTTGGTTAAAAATTCAAGGCTCAGCATATTGGCAGACGGGCCTATACAGGAACACATGTGACAAACTAAAAAATTAATTCAAGAAAAAGGATTCGGGTAAAAAAATATGCTCCTGTCATCTCTGATTTTATTGCATTTTTGCCTTTCCCCTCTAATCCCCTGGGTGCCTAAGAAATGGGTCAAATGTGAGCATTACACACAAAATGTTTGCATATCCTTGATCTATATCAGTGAATAGCAGCCTTAAGATATAGGAACTTCAACTCCTAGAATTCAAAATGAGTAGTTCACTGAATGTTGTGTTTGGGGAATTCTGGGAGTTGAAGTCCACACAACTTAAGGTTGCCAAGGTTGCGAATTCGTGGTCTATATGCTGATTAGCAACTACTCCCAAGGAGTTCAGAGAGACATTTTCGCAGACTTCAGAGAAAATCACAAACACTCTTAATGGTACATATAGGAAATATTGTCCATCATTTAGTTTCAAGTTCTCTATGCAAGCACAACTAAACTAAGGAGAAACCTTAGTAATTTGGTGCTGTTCTTTACACAAACTTTTCAGGTGTGACATATGTACTAAACCACTTTGGGTAGAGGTAGATAAAAATTTGCCTTGTTTTTGTAAAATTGCCCTCTGCACTTGCAAGATTTTTCTTCCCAATGGATTATTTTTCATTTCTATATGGAGAATTGTTTTTCTTTAAATAAAAGTTGTCATGTGGCAAAGCAACACACAAGCGTCTAATATTATGTTTATTTCTAAGAATGTCCCCGAGTCTGTAAAATACAAACATTTTTAGAAAATGAAAATGATCAATTGCTGAAGCTCAGCACTAAGTAAACTGCATTCTAACTGGGAGGAAAAAAAGAATAAACCTAAAGGAAAATGGGTGTATTATGAAACATTTCTAAGAAAGAGAGGCCCTGCCACATCCTGGTAAATCAGTAATTATTTGTAACTGGGGTTCCCCCCCCCCTCCGCCCATGGCAGCCATTTTGTGAATAGGCAAGGCATCCTAGTATGTCTCTTGTCAAGGCATCCCTCCCAAAATTTATTCTCAAAATGTCAACCAGGTCCAAAAAGTTTAGATAATAGAATTAGGGAATTCTAAAAATGCTCTAATCTCATACCATTAAACAATAATAGGAACTGTTCAAAATATCTAGAACAGACAATGTTATCCATCATAGGAACAATTGTGGTTTATTAGCCAAATATCACTGTGCTTATTAAATAAATTTTGAAGGAACGTTATCCATATCAAAAACCTAATCCAAGATTGAATTTTAAAAATCTAATTGCCAGTCCACCTGATGATACTCTTAGAAAAGTCTTTTTTTCCCCACTTTCCTTATTACACAAGCTCTCCTGTTACTTACAGCAAAGTGTGTAAAACAGTTCAAGAATAAATTTTCTCCAGGTTAGGTATCGACTCCTATTAATGGATGGGTGTGATCTGCCACATATATTCATTTTTTAAAAAAGTCAATGTCCCCATTATTTAATTAATTTGCTCTACAGGTTTACACAAAGATGAGGAAGAAGAGCTTTGATTAAATTTAATTATTTTCCCTTGAGGTTTATAGGGCAGTGATATCACCACAAAATGAGGCCAGCTACAAACAAGGTAAGCGAATATTGGAAGTTGATTCCATGCAGGTTTTTGGCTGAACAGTATCTCTATAGATTTCTTCCAAGTTGAACAATATGAAGAACGAGATGGTTACCTTATTTCTATTTTATTTCATTCATTCTAAAGGCTACATACATGCTAAAACAACAACAGGGTCAAGAAGTTAAGAAAGGAACTTTTCCTGTTTTTTGTAAGATGTTTTCATTGGAACATCTGGTTACTTTTCCAATGTTATCCAAATCTCCTAACTTTCAGAAATTCAACAAGCTTTGATAAAAACTGCAATTAGGCGAAGTTTTGGTCTTCTCTGTTCATTTAGGACTCCTTGCTTAATTGTGGCTTTATTGCTTGTTTGCTAGAGATGCAAGAGAAAAATAGCAGTCATCATTAGGACAGTAGCAAGAGTAGCAGAAATGTCAGTTATAATTTGAGGAAAAATGGGGTGGGAAAAGTGAGAAAATCTAGCATATTTTGTTTATTTAAGATAAAAGCGTTCATTGCATACACATTCTATTGAAGTGTTTTAAACTGGGAACCAAATATTTCAAACTATCAATCTGATTTTCTATCAATAAAGGAGAATATTTGCAGCTAAGAATTGAACTGTGGGATGCTTGATGCTCTCTGAGCTTGGTTGTTTTGTTGCAGATGTTTCATTACCAAATGAGGTAACATCATCAGGGCTAAGCACTCAGAGAGCATCAAAGACCTCTGATTTCCTATCAGAAATTAACCAGTCAAATTGCAGAATTTGTGAGTAAAAGTGTGCTCTCAGTATGCACCAAAACAACAACAACAAAAAATCACTGTAATAAAATTTAAAGTAACGCAGGACCAATATTTTTTTTTCTCATTCTTACGCTGTTTGGACAGGACAACATAGGATAATCTATTTCTCCACATTTAAAAAATAAGTGAGTTGGACATAATTTTGGCTTGATTTTATATCGGTTTTTAAAATTGATACTGATTTTAATTGAAATGTTTTAAATTATGGGCCAAACTTTATTTAATTATTTTAATACTATTTTAACTTTTGTGTACAAATGTTTTTATTCTTGGCTGTTCACCGTCCTGAGTCCGAAAGGAGAAGGGCGGTATAGAAATTTAAATAATAAATAAAGAAAGAAAGAAAGAAAGAAAGAAAATTGGTGAAATTGCACACCAGTGGTCAATAAAGCTGTGTGGATTACCATAGCAATTTAACCACTAATTCTCAGGTTTTAATCTGAGAATTAATCACCATGGCATCAGGATAATATATATCTCAGAGCACCTTCCTAGCTTTAAAATTCTGGTCAAACAGCAGTAAAACCTCAGTGTTTAAGGATTTCAGTCCTGTCAAAAGCATTGACCAATGAGGAGGCTTCTGTCATTCACAACATTCAAGTTTTCTTGTGTTCCTTACCTTCCTGCTGACAGCTTCAAACATCCCAGGGGACCAGGGGATTCTCTCTCTCTCTCTGTCTCTCTCTTTCTCTCTCATTTTCCAAAGTATTTTGAGTATTGGGAGAAGCTGGGAGGGGGAACAGGAGAACGAAAGGGCTACATGTGCATGCTTCTGCACTTCTTCCCTTCCAATAAAATACTGGCAATTTGTTCAGCTTTTTCCTGTCTTGATCGTATTTAAAAGCATTCAATTAAGATTTTATAATGTGTCCAGTGAGTTAACCCCCCTATGGTATTAGAAAAAATATTACATATATAAATAAAATACATCAAAGCATTAAAAAGCTATTACACACTCTGAACATAAAATGGCAGAATAATGATGGATCCTGCCATGCAGCAAACATATTCAAAAATATTATCTTCCTGGTAATGAAATGCCATCCGTTTCATTTTAAGCTAAATACATTAGACATATCAGTGGAGTCTGTGCTGACACAGCAGCGAGTTGAAATTGAAAATCTGAAATTATATATATGATTGGACACAGTGTTAAAGTAATTTATAGGAAAAACCACAAATATGCTGGTTCTGCACCTTCTGGTGAACTCATTTTATAGAATCAGATAGAAGAAAACACTACCATTTCTAATATGCAGTTGGAAATGGCAACCCGCCAGTGTCCCAATATATATTCTGAACGGAGGAGATGGGCGGAAGGGTGGGGGGAGAAGAAGAAGAGGAGGAAGAAAACGATGGAGACAGTGAAAGGAAAAAAAAAACCCCAGGGAGACTTGATTCAAATTACCACAATTCTGCATAAGCCATCAGGAAAATGGCATTCGTTTTCATCCCTCTGACCTAATATGATACAGCAGCTGTAGGAACTGTATTAGGTATCAAGACAAGTGGGAGATAACAGGGAAACATTTAGAGAGGGAGATAGAGGTTAATTTTGGTATGACTGCAGAGGCGTTATGTCTATTGCCGCTGAGCATACAGCAGCAGCAGGGATCATTATGATGATCACCTGATACCTGACCATCAGGAGACTGGATCAGAAGGGAAGCTGGGAAGACTGGATGTGGTGGTCCCTCACCTTCATTTTAAAGCTTTCATGGTCTCTTTCCAATTGAGCCTGGCAGGCTGCTCTTACAATGGCACAATCTTTCCAAGAAAAAACATGATGTTTCCAAGGTGTGAATCTATGCAGATTTTGTATAAATTGGATTGAGAGAACAAGAAGAGTCAGGATTCGAGAGAGCCAGACCAGGCCTATTTAACTGTTGAAAGACAGAGGTGAGACTCCTGCAGGATCCTCAAAGCTAGATCCAATTTTTTGATGCATCAGGATTTGGGCTGGATTCTACTGAAAGCCAAAATGAAGCATAGATCATATTAAACACCCCATAAACTTTTTCCCTTTCACCTGTGTCTGTTGAAACAGTCATGTCATACTCTGATTTCTTCCTTAGCCTGAAATTCCACCAATATTACTTCTACACCAATTCTCTTTCAAGTATTTTATTTACTAAACATTCATTAACCTCCCATCTCTTCACAATGTCCTAACCTTTCCCAAATAACATTTTCATTTCTATTATTCTTTTTATCTCCATAAAATGGAAAGAGCAAACAAAAACACCCAAGCCTTGCCAGGTTTTTCTTCAAAGAGGTTTCCTAAATGATAGCCCAATTCACTTTCACCTGGTCTCTTGCTGTAATTACAGGGTGCAGGCAGGACAATGTTTTTCAACCCTCCCTCCCTCTCTCTCCCTCCCTCCCTCCCTCCCTCCCTCCCTCCCTCCCTCCCTCCCTCCCTTCCTTCCTTCCTTCCTTCCTTCCTTCCTTCCTTCCTTCCTTCCTTCCTTCCTCTCTTTCTTTGTTTTACACATCCTGGATTTATCTAAATTTATCTAAGATTATGACAGAAAAATATTCTCAATGTTCAGCAATCATGATCAAAAGGTGCACAGTAAGATGCAAAATATGGGTGTCATACTCACAAAATCTCCAATCTCCTGCTCTGCAGAAGCATACAATGGGACAATCTTGTCCCAAAATACAGGGATACTGAAGCTACTGAACTCTTTTAGAAACCTACATGTATAAAAAAAAATTGGAATAATCAGTTAAGGACAAACAGACTAATAGCAAATATATGTATATACTGTATATTTGGAGGATTTTACCTTTGATAACATCAGGTGAGCGCCATCTAATGAGCTGTCTGTTTCTGAACAAAAAGCATCATTTGTGAGTTCCAAAAGCGTTGAAAATATCTTGCAAAGCACCTGAAAACTGGCAGAAATTCAAGCAAAACGTCATTCTCTACACACTGGAAGCAGAACCGCAGAAAAAGAATATCCATAGAAGCAAGTCTTTTACAGGGAGCAGGGTTGCTTATCAGGTACAATAGTTTGCAGCTCTCAAAACATAACAAGTACTCAGCGGTGTAGTGATGAGAGAGCTTGAAAAACTCCACATTCCAGAAAGAAAAGAGACTTCCACAAAAGTATAAGTTTCCTAAGAAAAAGCAGCGAGACCACATACAAAAGGATTTTCAACTGATTTCAAACTCCTTTACAAGGAGTTTGTAGAGAATGGTGACTAGTTAGGCAGGGGAATGAGAGGAAGAGTTGTATTCAGCAATGTATTCATCTTGATCTACAGTGAAATTTCCCTCCTCGCAGATAACATCCTAGAGAAAAACACAATGAATGATTCAAAGACTGGGACCTTTTTTCTTTTAGTTGTTTTCGTTGGCAGATAAACGAGATGCCTCCAGGCGAATCCATGAGTCTAGAGAATTAGCCAGATATTTAACAACAAATAAACCAAGATCAAGGTCATACTTTCTGATTAGCCTATTCCCTGTACAGACCACTTACCACTTCCTTGGTATAGAAATGGATGGCATTGTCTTGTTCCTACTTCTAGCCCATAGCTCAGAGCTCTCATGCCTATGTTTTTCAGCTATGATTCAAATCTGCTATTTTTCCTCTTAATTGTTTCAGATTTAAAGGTTTCCACCTCTTTATTCCATTCTAGGAGCAGTCCCAGGTCCAAATGGCTGTGGTTCCTGATATGTCCTCTCCCATTCAATGGCTGGTTGCTTTCCTGGGAAGCCATTCCATCTTAAGCTACCAAGCATTTAATAAACTTGAGTTGGATCCAGTGATGACCTGTTAAATCAATGAAGCATCCTTAGCTCTAGAAGCTGATGAACCATTCAACCTTTACATCTTCCCCTTGCTTTCTGCTCCCTGCCCACAGCATTGGTTAAATGAGTGGTTAAAAGGTATCAACTGCAATTTCATTTCCTACATAGTCCTAAATGGCTTCCAGGAAGAATCAATGTTATAGGTTAGAATTGGTTTAGAAAAAGTATTGCAGTGTGAGAGGATAGGTCACTCTATCTTGATTAACACATTCAAACATATACAATCCAATTAACACTTTTCATTTAATTAGAGAAAATGGGATACATAAACAACTCTTGTTGTTTGGATGTTTCGGCTACTATTTATTTTAGTTTATTGTTTTAACATATACTGGATGGGTTCGTGACAGTGGCGGGTGGCCCCCAGTTCACATCAGTTCTATAGAATGGGTAGTAAAACTTGCGGCAGGCTCTGTCCACCGACCCTGATGTCATCAGAACGCTTCTGCACATGCGCAGAAGAGCACGCACGTGCACGAGTAAAGCAACGGCCCCATTGCAAACTGGTAGTAAAGGTAAGTAGAACCCACCCCTGGTTGGTGCCCATCCTAAGTGCCTAAGGACAGCAGGCAGACTGTAAACATTTTAATAAATAAACTCAATAAAACTACATGTAGGTATAGAACTTTTAATTTTTCCTAAAATGGCACAATTTTTATGCCAATGGACATACTATAACTCCTTCCCTCTTTATTAGACTTCAAATGTCATACTTTCTTAAAGATAAGATACATGTAACACAGTGAAATACTTTAAAAATCCAGCAAACATGGTCCAATAAATAGAATTCTTCTTCAGAATTAAATGATTGGCCAGCACGAAGCAAAGGGGATTATTTAATAAAGGAGTGTGACTATCACTCATGATTAAAACAATAGGTGGGATTCAGTAACATTATTCAGAAAGGCATCTCAATCTCTTTAGCCTGAATCATATGGCTAATGCAGATTTTGTTTGAATTTAGGATAGTATTCTAACAGATAAAATAGTAACTCTAAGATGCCAGGGTTTAAAGTAAAATAAATATGAAAAGGAATGACATACATGCAGATAAACAGGTAAGATCTTTCAGGATATAAGATATCTTTTATTTATAGGCAAAAAGCATATAAAACTGCACAATAGGAATAGTTAACAGTGCTGGCTCAAGAAACTCTGATGCCTGAGGGAGACAGGATAACATTCTTTCTCCATTCCTAAAGAAACCAGATAAAATTAATTCAAGACTTTAGGCAAACATTTGATTTGGGAGGAACCAAAATAGCTCTTCTTTCAACAGAGAGTAAAGTTCAGGGAGAGGAAAGGCAAGATTAACAGTTCAGTACCATCAATATGCTGATGATACTGAAACAATTATACATCTCCACCCCTAGTCAGACAAGGAACAATGTGGTGGTGCTGGATGAGTGTCTGAATGGGAAAGAACTGGCTTTGACCAAACCTTGGTAAAACAGAGGGTTGTGGGTTTTGCCTCCCCTCCCCGGCCCAGAAGATACTTCATTTTTGACTCTGGATGGAACGGCACTTCCCTGAACTGAGCTGGTGCATAATTTGGGGCTCCTTCTGGACTTGTGGCTTCTGCTTGAGGGACAGGTGGCAGCCATGACCTGGGTGGGCTTTGCATAGATTTGTCTAGTGTGCCAATTGAACTTTTTTCCTGGATAAGGAGGCTTTACTCATGGTCATTCATGTTTTGGTCATTTCCTTTTTGGATTACTGCAATGCACATTACATGGATTTGCCCTTGAAGGCCAACTGGAAACTTCAACTGGTCCATAATGCAGCAGCATCCAAAGTAATGTCCTGCCCCGCCCCCCAGGTTTCTCCATGTAACACCTCTGTTGTGTGAGCTACACTGATTTCCAATTTCTTTCAAGGTCCTAGTCATCACTTTTTTTTTTGATTTGATTTATATGCCGCCCTTCTCCGGAGACTCAGGACGGCTTACAATGCGTTAAGCAATAGCCTTCATACTTTTGTATATTTATACAAAGTCAGCTTATTGCCCCCACAATCCGGGTCCTCATTTTACCTACCTTAGAAAGGATGGAAGGCTGAGTCAACCTTGAGCCTGGTGAGATTTGAACTTGCAGTAATTGCAGGCAGCTGATGTTAATAACAGTGCTTTAGTCTGCTGCACACCACCAGGGCTCTTTTAAAGCCCTGTATGGTACAGGGCCTGGTTATCTGCAGGATCAGCTTTCTCTGAGGACATCTACTTGCCTGTCAGATCAGATAGATTGGATGTGCTCCTAATCCCTTGCCCTAAATATTGCCATCTGATAGGAGCTAGGAAGCGTGCCTTTTCTGTGGCAGCCTCTGCCCTGTAGGACACTCTACCCCCCCCTGAAGTTTCAGCACGCCTCCACCCTCCTAGCATTCCGTAAAGCTTTGAAGGCCTATCTCTCCCACCCCCCACCCCCAGCCAAATTGTTGGGATCAAATTGGATTACTGCACATTAGGAGTTTGATTTGGCGGCAGGTTTTTGTTTTTAATGTTTTCATGTGTTTAGTTTTATTGTTTTAATATGGTTTTCTACATTGTTTTAACTGTTGATTGACAGCAACACAGAATTAGAGTTGGGCAGCTATATAAAAGTTTTAACTAACTAACTAACTAACTAACTAACTAACTAACTAACTAACTAACGAAAGAAAGAAAGAAAGAAAGAAAGAAAGAAATAGACACATACATACTGTACATACCTACATACCTACATACATACATACTCAAATGAAATAGCCTTATCAGTCCCCAGATTTCCTAGCCTTATTTCTAAAATGACTGAAGAGTACCAGGTTGAGGATGGGTGGATTAGAAGAAAAATAACTAAAAAAAATAGAGTAACAAATATGAAAAAGTTCCTTGGAAGAGAGTGCGAGAATCACGTGCAAAGTTTTCCACCCCTATATTATGCACTTCTTTTTTGAGATCAGTGAAACTTTAACTACTGTATATTGACTAGGTAGCATTAATCAAATACACTATCACACTAATTTCTATTTTGAGATCTAGCATGATTCATAATCTCCCATAAAATGCAGGGTTCTTGAATAATTCCATCCTC